ATGGAACGCCATAACCAAGTGGCCGGCATAGTGTACAGGAACATCTGTGCCAAGTATAACCTGGAAGTGCCGAGGTCAAAATGGGAGACGCCCCCAAGGGTGGTGGAGAATGACCGAGCTAAGATCCTGTGGGACTTCCAGATACAGACGGACAAAATGGTGGTGGCTAACCAACCGGACATAGTGGTGGTAGACAAACAGAAGAAGACGTAGTGATCGATGTAGCGGTTCCGAATGACAGCAACATCAGGAAGAAGGAACACGAGAAGCTGGAGAAATACCAAGGGCTCAGAGAAGAGCTCGAGAGGATGTGGAGGGTGAAGGTAACGGTGGTCCCCGTGGTAATCGGAGCACCAGGTGCGGTGACTCCCAAGCTAGGCGAGTGGCTCCAGCAGATCCCGGGAATAACATCGGAGATCTCTGTCCAGAAGAGCGCAGTCCTGGGAACAGCTAAGATACTGCAGGACCCTCAAGCTCCCAGGCCTCTGGTAGAGGACCCGAGCTTGAATGATAGACCCCCACAGGGGCGAGCGGGGAATTAAAGAAAAAAAATTGCTGGAGCCACTCACCTAGTGCTCCGATGAGGGGTTTATATATATGTACGTATGTATATATATATACATATATGGTTTTAATAGTAGGGTGATCATTGGCAGTATTCATAGAAGAAGTAGTTCTGAAAGAAATCATAAATTCTTTGACCATTCTTATAAATAAGGGGGAAAGAGGTCTGCAAAATGTGTTCATGTTACCTCCTCTCTTTCACTAACGAGATCCTCACCCTGTCAGCTCCAGAATAATAACCACTCAGATAATATTGTAAAATAAAATAAAATAAAAAGACTAACATGAGGAGCCTGTAGTCTACAGTGCTCCTCTCGGCAAAGCAAATATTTTTGACACAACCAAGTAGTCAGACGATGATTGTACTTCTTAAAACTATTGGACAGGTCAGGTATAAAAAAACAAAACGTTTAGTAGCTTCACTGCACTGTGTTTGCACACGGGACTGAAGAAGACAACAGAGGAATTATACCTTTAATTTAATATTAATTAAGGATACAATCCAAGCACCCTTTTCACACCTTGACTCATGTAATGAAGCACATGATAGTGGGTCACCCACTGGGATAAATACCTGGGACTGTCCACCCAAGCTTCTCAGTTGAGACGTCTTCAAGAAACTTAAAGAAGTCCAGTTACATTTTCCCCCAAGCTCCTCAGACTACCATGACCTGGATGACTGAGAACCGACACAGATATGATGTTAACCCTCTTTAATGATTCCAAAACCAATTTTGATGAGTATTTGGAATATCTGTCCTGCTGGAACATCCAGTTTAGCGCATACAGCTCTTCACTTGAGGTTAAGTTGAAGACGTTACTCCATCCTCTTTGTGTGGAGATACCTGTAGCACTTTCAGCAAAACATCCCCAGAGCATGTCGTCACCACCATGATCCACAGCATATGTGTATACAGGTATATGTAGCGCAGACAGTATCCCACACACTTTTGATGCTTCATCCTTGGCTGTTTGATCGGTTTTACCAGTGTAAACCTGCTGTATTGTATTGGAAACATGGGCTAATTTATTCTGAATTATTCTTTGACAGAGTTTAAAAAATTGAATGTGTCTGCCAGCAGCGTTCACAGTAACTGAGAGGTGGGCGTGGCTCCGGGGACCGAGCCCCCTAAAGGTTACGTCCTAGTCACCCCTGCTGCGCACATCATCAAAACTGTGTCGTGGTTAAATTATTAACTTGTTTCGTTAGGGTTAGGGTCTGTGTGCATTAACAGACGTCGAACACGATCCTCCTCACCGACTGGATCATACCGTACGCTGATGGATACTCAGCATTTTAGGCCCAACCAAGCTCTACACATGCAGCCTCCATACCGCTAAAGACGCAGTAGATGGTGCCGTAAAACCCAAAGAAGCCGACCTCGCGGCAGTTTGCAAACAAACGTGTTAGTGTAGGCGGGGCTCAGGGACCTGTACATCGGTACCTTTGCATGCATTAGACAAGCCAACGCTCATCGTTTCGCCTTTGTTGTGGAATCAGACTGCTCCAGGTGCGAGCACGTCTCCCACACACACCACACTGCATCTGCTAGCTACGTTACCTCTCTCCAGGGTTAGGGTTAGCTAGCCTGCTAGCTACGTTACCTCTCCAGGGTTAGGGTTAGCTACCCTGCTAGCTACGTTACC